TCTTCATAGTCGCTGGAATTCAGATTTTTTGCCACATTGTCCTCAAAATCAGATTTCTACAAACTTATCAGGTGCATTCATTCCTAGCTGCAACCCTTCTTGCCCTTATATTCTTTATTGAGTTGTTCATTCCTCTCTGAGCATTGAGGACAATGCACCATTTTAAGCTTGGGGAGGGGGTTAGTGTAAAAATTTGCATTTTTGTTTAAAATTTTAATTTTTCATTTTTTTTTAGTTAAATTTTTCAAAATTTTCTTTTTGCATTTTATTTTCTGCATTGCATTTGCATATAAAAAATTCAAAAAAAAGTCCAAAAAAATTTTATTTTTCTGCATTCATAAATAAGAGAACAAAAAAAACCAAAAATATTTTTATTTGTAGTTATTTTTTTATTTTCTGCATATAAAAAATCAAATTAAAAATGAAATCTTTAAAAAATTTACATGAGATGAGGATATTTTTTTTACATTCGATAGCTCTGTTAAGATGAAGTGTGATAGTTGCCGAAAATAACGGTCTCATTACAATCAATTTTAAGAATTATCTTTTCAAGTGCTTTAAATGTTTTCAATATGAACCAAAATAAGAGTCAGATAATTTTTACAATGGAAGTGTGGGATGGAAAAATGAACAGTGCTTTGAAAATAATTTCCTTGAATGCCTTAAAAAGAACCTAGATTGGATAACCCTTATCATTCCTTGAAGTACTGAACCTTATAGTTTCTACGCCTTTTGAGGTTGGGAGGGAACTCTCGTTATACCCACAAATTAGTTATCATTTTTGAAGTATTGAAAACATGGTGGGCCTCAAAGTAAAATTCGCGCCTAGTCAATATATATATATATGTTATAAATGGTACATCAAACAACTTGAAGAAATCTGCAATTCAAAGTCAAATCAAAGTCAAGTTCAAGTCGAAATCAAGAAGCAAGCAAGTTAAATCTAAATAGTTGATCAAGACAAAGAAGATGTGTGGTATAATGAGATTGATCCCTCGATAGTAGAATCATAGGGGTAAGCTTAGATTTTCTGTCCATAATGGAGCTTACCGCGTTTACTGGACGAGTTCGGAAAAAAAGGAGGGGTTGGTCAAGCTAAGTTTTTATAAACGAATTTGCGTGAAATATTTTTAAAAATACACTGTTTTCACAAATTTAATTCGGCGTAAATTTATTTGCTCAAAGCTTGGTTTAACTTATTAAATATAATTATGAATAGTTAATATAAAGTATTGAGACTGTTGTCTAGGTAGTGATTTCATTGGAGCTTCCTCGTTGTGAAATCTGATCATGTGAAAAAAAAAATTGTGAAGTGTTTTGATAAAGTTTAAATTTTTAGTTTCCTTAATCTTGTTTTAGTTTTAATTCTAAGTTTCTTTTTAGGTTATCTACATCTTTCCATTTGATTATAATGTTATATCTTTTTCTTACTTGAGGGCAAGTAAGGTTTAAGCTTGGGGAGATTTGTTAGATGCCATTTTATGCATCTTATAGGGTAGTTTTTATCATCATTTTAGCATCATATTTTGTACATTTGCATGTCATTTAGATAAATAATGTTAGAAGCTCATGTTTTTATGCCAATTTCAGATAGTTCGAGTGGAGCAGTGCTTTGGGAGCAGTTGGATGCGTGTTTGGAGCTTAAAATGGAGCTTGTGACATATGGAGTATGTTGAGGAATGTTTGGAAGATGCTTTGGTCAAGAAACATTCGATCGAATTGATCACACGAAGAAAGAATCTACAATCTAAAGATAAAGGATGTTACTGGCAACTTTGACCCCCTGTCAGTATTTTGACCATATCTCGAGAACCGTAACTCCGATTGACGCGATTCAAAATGATATGAAAAGTAGACGAAATTTCGGACTGCATAGGCACAACCTTCGATCGCAGGTTGTGTACATGCGATCGCAGGTTGGCCAAAAAGTTCCAGAATAGCATCCTACTTCATTAAAAAGGCACCAGACGCGTTTATTTCAAAACCTGCGATCGCAGGTTGTGTACATGCGATCGCAGGTGCGTCGTTTTTGCTGTTGGACGTATAAATAGACCCTAATAGCATTCCTGTAACCAAAGTTGGCGATTCCAGAGGTACCAAACGACGAAAATACGATTTTGGAGGTGTTTCTTCTCCGATTTCCATGATTTTTGAAGATCTGAAGACTGTGGATCATCTCCTACGTTTAGTTTAGTAAGATTTAGTAGTTTAATGTTTCTTTTTATTGTTTTAGATCAGATTTTAGCCATGTCTGGCTAAACCCTAGTTTTCAGTTCTGCAAAGACAATTACTTTTCATGTGATTGATCATTAGATCTGGTTTTTGATTTGTGTTTCTATCTAGATTCTTCAGTTTTGAGCTTAATGAATGTTTGATTTGAATTCTTGTTAGTCTGATCACCTAGCTAGGGTTTTATCATTCCAGTTAATCAGTTAATAGAATCCGTAATTGTTCTAATTAATTGGTAATAAGTAACAAGTAATAAATCGGTTCCGTGTTTGGGATTTGACTTTATTATAAACTGTAAAAATCATATCTTTACGCTTCCGAGCTTGTGAGAAGTATTGGGTATTGCTGGGAATTTTACAAAGAACTTAATGCAACTTTTCTGATATTAATTAAGAGCTTGTTTGATTAGACAGTAAAAAGTTAGGGTTAATTGAAGAGCTTGTTTTGGTTAACTAAATAAGGTAAAAGAGAAATTACTAGAGCTTGTTAGTTTTTCTCAGTACCAGCTTAGATAGAACGCATCTCAAATAATCAGATCTGGATCAGTTGCATGATTAGGAAAGTCACAGCAGAGCTGAAACCATTTTTATTATTGATTTTCATTTACTTTATTATCACTGCATTTCTAGTTATTAGTTTTAATCAAAACCCCCCCTTTTATACTCTGTTTCTTGACTAGATATGCCTGATGCAAAAAGGCATTGACTTTTAGGCTGTGTCCCTGAGGATTCGACCCTGCTTCCCTGTGCTATATTTTTAGTGCAACCAGCAGTGATAAATTTATTTGTTTAATACGTGCGCGACAGCGTGTTAACACTGCCGTGGGAAGGGCGGTTCCTACATTTACTTGTTGGCTTAGATGCTCCCTGTTGATTACCTCCCCCCCCCCCCCCCCGCGATGAATCTGGCTTCGGCCTCTTGGCCTCGGTTGAAATGTCCTTTGGTTGCATAATCTTGTAGCATTTGAGCTCCCTTGGGGGGGGGGAGGGTGGCTAGGATTGGCCCTAGGCCATGGTTCGTGCTAAACTTTACTATTCCATGAATCGTTGATGAGATTGCTCCAAATTTCAATAGAGCGGTTCGCCCCAGTATGACATTATGTTCGAATGGGTGTCGTATGACTACGAAATCTACAAGGGTGGTCTGTCGCCTGGTCTTGTCTTGACTAGTGAGTGTGAACGGTAAGTGGATTGTACCTAGGGACCTCAGGCTGTGCCCTATGAATGTTGTGAGTTGGCCTGCGGTTGGTCTTAATCCCTCCTTCCATGCGTCAGGCAACAACTAAAAACAAAGCTTGTAGATGATGTATGCAGTGCTCCCCGTGTCGATGTACACCGGGTGGATCTTGGTGTCTCGAATGGAGCCCTGGATGACGAGAGGGTTGTCTCCTTTCCACCCGGCTGGGCTTGGGTCAGTCATGGAGAAAGTTAGCCCTTGCATGGTTTCCGTGATGCTTCGTACGCTGATTGTGCGTTCTGCTCTCCCCCACTTGTGGCGAAGCATGAGGGTTTCTTGTCGGTAGTTTACTCCTCCTGCGTTGTCTTTAGGGTTTTCTGCGTCAAATTTAGCTCGTAGACTTTTGGCGATCTCTATCACGTTTCCCTTCAACTGCTTCTATTCCATCTCCCGTTTTAAAACTGAGCAGTTGACCGTGTCATGCGTCCTACTCTTGTGGTATTCGCAGTATCGCGTCTTAGTACCCTTTGCTGCTAGTTTTTTGGCGATGGTATAAACTTCTGCTCATCTTCCCCTCCTGGCGTCCCTTGCGAAAGGTCTTAATCGTCCGTGTGGTCGCCTGTCTCGTCCTAAGAATCTACCTCCTCCCCGGGGGTCGTGGTGGGAGGTTGATTGGTGGTGTCATTTCCCGATCGAGGGGGACATGGCGTTGATGTATGCTTGCTTTGACGCTTCATCTTATTCTTGGCGTAGGAAACGCTCCACTCGCTCTTTTAACTCTGCTCTCGTCTGAGGTTATTTGCCCATGAGTTTCTGGGAGAGCGAACCGGGAAGTAATCCCCAGGTAAATGCTCCTGCGATCAATCCTTCATCGTGTCCCGACACGTCTAATGTTGCCTTGGTAAACCTAGCGAAGTAGTCCTTGACTGTCTCCCCTCCCTTTGCTTGCACCCGATAATGGAGTGACAATCACTTTTGTACTTTTGGAGCTGCGTGAAGTTGGTTAAAAAGAGGTATTTCAGCTGGCTAAAGTTGCAGATGCTACCAGGGCGCAACGTTTTGAACCATGTCCCTGTGTTGCCGTATAGAGTGGTAGGGAAGTACGTGCACCAGAACCATTCGTCTAGCTTGAGAGATGTTATTGTCCACTCGTAGGTGTCGATGTGGCTGTATGGGTCTGTGGTGCCGTCGTGCGTTTTGAGGTGAGGTAGCTTGGCAGTGTTAGGAATCTCGTATTCTAGCAACTCTTTCACGAACGGTGATGTGACACTACGTGAAAGACAGTCTTCGTTCGGTGTCCGTTGAGCAAAATTGTATCCCGGTTGTTGCATTGCCAGGTATGGCTATACCAGGTTGTTGTTGTAAGCCGCAAGGTCTGGTGGTGTTGGGCCATAGAACAACTGTGGCTGGAATGGGGTGGAAAACGTAAGGGAGATGGGGAGTTGCTGGTAGGGCGTGAATGGCGGTGTCGGCATGGCTCCTGTCACTAGCGGTGGGTGGCTTTGTGCTTGGAAAATGATACTTGGGCCATTAGTGGCGTTATTGGCCAGCATTGTGTGCGTGAGCGGGGGTAGTCCGTTAGTGGTTTGCACCGTTTACGGTGGTGCCACGAGTGTCGTTTGTTGTGGCTCATTTGTGGTGTGAATGGGCGGTGGCAAAAGGCTGTAACCGGCGTTACTTGGTCCGGCGGTGTTAGGAAAAAACAGTGGTATAGGAGGTGGAGTGAACGGGTTGGGTCCGCCAAAGTTAGGGAACAACGGCGTGGTTACGCTATTCCGAGTGGGTATTGGTATGTGTTTCTGGGTTGTGACGGAAGGCGTAGCCTCTGCGAGAGAAGGTGGCGGGCCACCGGATGATGGTGTCTCAGAAACCGTCCCGGTCGTCTGAGTTTGTGGTGTTATTGGGGTGTTGGTCGTCTCTAGTGAGACCATTGGTCGTATCGGGCTATGTGGTGTTTCCGATGGCTCGTCGGCGGCTTCGTCCGTCATTTGTGACTGGGTTAAGAGGAAAATGGGTTTGTGTATCCGTTGTCACACAATCGGACGGCGCCAAATGATGCAACCTGGGTTCCGACCACCTAGAGGGTGAGAGATGTGTTCGTCGGGGAGAAACCAGAGAGGTCACAAAGAGAGAAAGCCGTCATCCGTTCTCCGGGAGGAGGTCCCGGGAAAACGCTCCGACGTACAAGTTAGTAGTGTATTGGAGAGTAAGGGCTGAGAATCGGTAGAGATGGCTTACCCATTAAGGTGAAATGGTGGTCCTTTTATACTGGGGATCCTCCTCGGGCCATACGAGGAACAAGGACTGCAGTCCCGACAAGATCCGTTGTCCTTATTGGTGAGTCGTGATCCTCGTTCTGTCAGGTCCAACGATTGGTCCAGGTGATAATGCTCTAGATGTGCCCCTTGTCGCCTGGAGCCGTTATCCTTTGGACTGTAGTGGAAGGCATCCCTTGGCGGGGACGGGCCTTCCACGCGGTCATCCCGCTAGGGCGCCTAGCAGCGGGGTATCCGCTGGGGCGCCTAGCAGCTGGGGATCCGCTGGGGCGGCCAAGCTGGGCCTGGCCGGGCCTCGCTGGAGATTCCTCACCGGGGAGTTCCTTTATTCCTGGGCCGCTCTGAGGGTGTGGTCAGCAATAGATTAGATATAGATATAGATATATAATATAGATATATATATAGAGATATTATATATAGAGATATATAGATATATATATATAGATATATATATATAGAGAGAGAGAGAGAGGAGAGCATTCAATTGAGAACATTTCTTATTGCGGGAACATTTGAGAACATATTTGGACTACACAATTTATTTTAATTAAAATTATATAATAATATTCATATAAATCAAAAAATAGTTACAAACAATTAAAAAACCCACTACCAACACAATTCACCACTCAACCACCAACACCCACCACCAGTACCTGCCACCAACCACCAATTACCACCACCTACAACCGACCAACCACCACCACTCACCACTTACCACCACCACCACCACCCCACCCCCACCACCACCCACCCACCACTAATCACCACTACCAACCCCCCATCACCACAACCTACAACCCACTATCACCATACAACTCCACTACCCAGTACCACCACCCACCACCACCACTATTACCAACCACCAATGACCATAACCTACAACCCACTACCACCACCCACACCAACCATCCATCACCACCACCCACGACCTGCCACCACCACCACCTCCACCCCCACCACCCACTACCATCACCATCACCACCACTCGCCACCAACCACCAAACTCCACCTGCCACCATCACCACCCTAAATGATCACCTACCAAAACCACCACCCATCACAACCCCCACCAACCACCACCACCAACTACCTCCACCCACCGATCCACCACCACCACTCGCATCCACCACCCGTAACCAGCACCCACCCACAACCTACCATCACCACCCCACCATTAACCACTACTCACCTCCACCAGCCACCACTACCATGCATCACCACCACCCGCCTCCACTATCCATCACCACCACCACCACACCCCTATCACCCACTAAAACCACCTCCCGCCACCACCACCACTCGCCACCCTTACTACCACCACCCATCACTACCACCACCCACCACTACCATCACCCATCACTTCCACCACCACCATCCCACCTCAACCACTACCCATCATCACTACCTGTCACCATCACACCTAGTCACCACCTACCACCATCACCACCATCTCTACCACCAACCAATACCCACCAACATCATCCCCACCTATCATAATCACTACCCACCACCCACCACCACCACCAAACATCACCACACACCACCACCACCCATCATCACCCACCCATCAACACCACCACCACCACCACCATCGATCCACCGACCATAAACACCACCCCCACCAACCTACCTGTCACTCCTACCACCTTTTACCACCACCACCACCATCCACCTATCACCACCTACAACCACTACTCACCACCACAAACCAACTATCACCCATGACCCACCACCACCCGTCACAACCATACCCCCACCTTCACCTCCCATTTTATCACATGAGATTATATTTATTAATCACATGTGATTATATGTATTCAATCACACGTGATTAAATACTTGAGAAGAACTATAGAATAGAGAACGCAAAAATGAATATTGTTCCTATAAATCATATGTGATTGGATACATATAATCACATGTGATTATATGTATCTAATCACATAAGATTTATCTGGACAATATTCATTTTCACGTTCTCGATTCAATAATTGTTCTTTGTATATTTTAATTATATGTGATTAAATACATTTAATCACATGTTATTATATGTATCTAATCACATATGAGTTTATTTAGAAAAAAGAATCTTGTTTGTATAAATCATATTTGATTAGATACATATAATCACATGTGATTATGTACACTTGGACAATAATTGAATCAGGGATGCGAAAACAAATCTTATCTGACATAAATCATATGTGATTAAATACATATAATCACATGTGATAAAATACATGAGACCAATTATTGAATTGAAACAACAAAAATAAATATTGTCCACATAAATCATATTTGATTAAATATATATAATCACATGTGATTAGATGTATCCAATCACATGTGATTTTTATGGAGAAGATTCATTATCACGTTCTCGATTCAATAATTGTTCTTTGTCAAATTTAATCTAATTTGATAAATAAATCTAATCACATGTGATTATATGTATCTAATCACATATGATTTAATCGCATGTGATTATATGTATTAAATCGTATGGGATTTATTTGGAAAAGATTTATTTTAGCAAATCTTGTTCATATAAATCATATTTGATTAGATACATATAATCACATGTGATTATATTTATTTAATCACATGTGATTTGTGTGATTAAATACATATAAAAAAGGTATATATAATCTAACATGATTTATGCCATTATATGTATTTAATCACATACAATGTTAATGGTTGTGGGTATTGGGTGGTGATTGTGTGGCTGTGATGGGTGGTGGTGGGTCGAGGGTGATAGTTGGTTTGTGGTGGTGGGTAGTGGTTGTTGGTGGTGATAGATGGTTCGTGGTGGTGGTAAAAGGTGGTAGGGGGTGACAAGTAGGTTGGTGAGGGTGGTGGTTATGGTGGGCGGTGGTGGTGTTGATGTGTGGGTGATGATGGGTGGGTGATGATGGGTGGTGGTGATGGGTGGTGGTGGCGTGTGGTGATGTTTGGTGGTGGTGGTGGTGGTAGGTGGTGGGTGGTGATTGTAGTAGGTGGGGATGATGTTGGTGGGTAGTGGTTGGTGGTGATTGTGGTAGGTGGGAATAATGTTGGTGGGTATTGGTTGGTTGTAGAGATGGTGGTGATGGTGACGGGTAGTGGTGATGGGTGGTGGTTGAGGCGGGTGGTGGTGACGGGTGGTGGTGGTGGTGGAGGTGATGGGTGGTGGTAGTGGTGGGTAGTGGTAGTGATGGGTGGTGGTAGTAAGGGTGGCGAGTGGTGGTTTTTGTGGGTGATGGGTGTGGTGGTGGTGGTGATGCATGTTGGAGGCGGGTGGTAGTGATGTGTGGTGGTGGTGGGTGGTGGAGGTAAGTGGTGGTTAGTGGTGGGGTGGTGATGTTAGGTTGTGGGTGGGATGCTCGTTACGGGTGGTGATAATGGGTGGTCAAGGCGAGTGGTGGTGATGGGTCAGTGGGTGGAGGTGGTTGGTGGTGGTGGTAATGGGTGGTGGTTTAGGTGGGTGATAGATAGGGTGGTGGTGGTGGCAGGTGGAGGTTGGTGGTTGGTGGCGAGTGGTGGTGATGGTGGTGGGTGGTGGTGGCAGGCCGTGGGTGGGGTGATAGATGGTTGGTGTGGGTGGTGGTAATGGGTTGTAGGTTGTGGTGATGGGTGGTTGGTAGTAGTGGTGGTGGTGGGTGGTGGTAATGAGTAGTGGAGGTGTATGGTGATAGTGGGTTCTAGGTTGTGGTGATGGGGGTTGGTAGTGGTGCTTGGTGGTGGGAGGGTGGTGGTGGTGGATGGTGGTGGTTGGTGATGGTAAGTGGTGAGTGGTGGTGGTTGGTCGGTTGTAGGTGGTGGTAATGGGTGGTGAGTGGTGGTGGGTGGTGTTGGTTGAGTGGCGAGTGGTGTTGGTGGTGAGTTTTGTAATTGTTTGCAACTATTTTTTGATTTATATGAATATTTATTTTATAATTTTAATTAAAATAAATTGTGTAGTCCTAATTTGTTTTCAAATGTTCTCGCAATAAGAAATGTTCTCGATTGAACGCTCCCCTATATATATATATATATATATATATATATAATAAATTAACAATAAATATATATTTTAAACTAATATTGAATATTGAATATCAAATAAAGTGGAAAGCAATAAACCGGAAACAACTACCTAGGTATTGGGCAATGCGCTTTTCATTTATTTTCCTTTTTAAACCTGCAAGATGTCAAATATTGAAGAATAATTTGTCATATCTTGGGAGTAATCTTTTATAGTTGAGCAGATCAAAAATCAAAGAGTCGATGGTGAAATGGTTGTGGTAAAGCAACATCGGATATATGAGATGGTAAGAATGCCAATAGAAAAAGTTGTAGAGTAGTCGGAGATAAGTAGTTACACCGGAGATCAGCTTATCATCACCGGATCACCATTATCTTCTTTTTTTTGTAGACCGGATCATCATCGCCCTCTTCAACCAGTCACCGCCATTGTCGTATTGCCATCAAATATGTGAAGGAAGATAGAAATAGTAGGCCTCCATTCTCAATTTTTGTGGCTGTAAAAGGTTAAAATGAGAGAGAGGATCAAATTTATTGGCCTTCTACTTCAGATATGGCTAAACGATTTGCTAAACTAGATCTGGTGATGGTTTGGTAAGATGAAAGGAAGATGAAGGTCATTTTCGACGGCGAGAGGTGGTGAACGAGCAGATCCGATGACATTCTGCTTCACATTGGTAGAACCTGACCTTGTGGTCGGAGAA